TGGTTCGAATAAATGATTGGCTTGGAATAAATTGTTTATCAGTTATTCAAATTGGGCTCGCCCGTATGTAATCGGTTAAGAGCGACGGGACCTGAATCAGAGGTCCCGGGTTCGATACCCACTTCGAGCAGCCTGTTGTCAGACAGCAGTGACAACGATTTTCACTTGGAAATATAGATAGCAATATGTTTTCAAGTGAAAATAGCCCTCATCCGGCATTGCTGCACAAATAAAAAGCCAGTCCTATTAGATTAATTCTAATAACAAAATCATCAAATATGGATGGATTAATCATTGCGTTACCATCTAAAAAAATACGAAGTAAGGAGAAGTTTCAGCCCAACAGCTCATAGGACGTAAGGTTCTGATTGCTGTTAAAAAAAATATTCAAACTAGCTGTAAGTGGAATTCTGTCTTAAGGCAATTAGGGCATCGTGCCTTAAGGCAAATTGCGGGAACTTCCCGTACCAAAAATTATTATTTTTTTAAAAACGATTAACATTTTTGAAAAAAAATTACTTCGAAATAATTATTGAGAAACTAGGAATATGACAAAAAATTACTTTTTTTTGAAAAACAAATTTTTATTTGAAAAAAAAAAATTTTTTTTTGAAAGAAAAATTTTTTTTTGAAAACAAACTATTTTTTTGAAAAGAAAAATGTTTTCTTCATTTTGACATATTTGGAAATTCTGAACTTTTTTTCAAAGCAATCGTAGTGCTTGAACTGCATAGAGACGAATTGTCACAGCGCAAGTGCCGCGCCGCCGTCTAACGCATAAACATTGGTACGGAACCCATAGAAATGTAAAAAAAAATTATACTTATTGTTAAAATTTCTATACAATATCTGATAATTTGATGTGCATATGTATAATCATCATTTTTAACCGCCGAATGGCATTTTTTTTTACTTTTTTCGTTAGATCTCCGAAACCGCTAGACCTGCCTTCATGAAAATTTTATCAACTCTTCATCTTGCCAATACAAGTAAAATGTTTTTTGAATTATTCAAATCGGACGCTCCGTTCTCTTAAAAACTGACTTACCGTTTTCGGCACTTTTTGCCCCGTATCTTCGGAACGGCTGGACCTAACTTCGCCAAAAACTAATCAGCACGTCTCCTTATCAGTACGAATCGAATGTTTTTTGAATTATTCAAATCGGTTGATCCGTGTTCCCGAAATCGTCGACGAAAATTTGTATCCGCACATACATACACACACATACATACACACACACACACACACATACATCCATTTTTTCTAAGGTATGCCAAAATGTTCAGAAACCTCTGAAACGTAAAGATATATAAAAATTTTCATTTTCGATTTTTTTGCGATTACTATAACTTACCCTACGGGAAGTTAAAAAAAGTTATTCAAATTGGTGACTAAAAAATTAGAATTTTCATAAGTGTACATTCGGATTTAGAACAAATTTTTATGATTTATTTACATGCCGCACCTAAAGTGTTTCAAAACACAAGAGAAATCAACTATGCAGTCAACCTCCATAACATAATACAATAAACCAGCTTCATTTAATTACAAATTAAAACAGAACCAATTACCACTTTAGAACAAAATAGCACACGCGTTGCATTTAAACATCACAAATGCAGTAATATGTGATACATAAACAAAAGTTTCGCCAAAATTTCATTTCGCGAATTTAATTATATACCAGGGCAGCCACGAAACACGAGTATCTTGCACGTGGGTGGCTTTATTAGTTATTCCCTCTGTGCAATATTATTCCACGATATTAGCCAATGAATATGCGCATAGTTATTTTCTAATAACCTCTAACATATTCAATACGGACATTCCTGCAATATTCCTAACACTTGTGTTTTGCATTCAGCGCATACGTTATGTGCAGGCAGCCTCATAGCAAAGTAATTCAGGCGATGGAATCATTAAAGTTTACCAGATATATGATAGTAGAAATAATAAACTAGTGGTGCAAGACATCTTGCCTTAATGCAAATTGCTTGAACTTCCCGTACCGTAATTTAGAATTTTTGACGGCTCAGAAAAGAAAATATGATTTCTTTGAGAATTTGATTTTTTTGAGCATTTTGCAAAACTTTGATAAATTTAAATTAAAAAAAATGCTTTTTTGAAAATACTGATACCAAAGACTTGGAATGTTTGAAAATATTTTTTTTTTAAATTTGGAAAACTTTGAAATTTCTTGAAAGTTCACGGACTGATGAAATCTGAAAGTTTAGCAGATATATTATGATGGAAATAATAAAATAGTTGCAAATTGCTTGAACTATCCGTAATGTAGTTTAAAATGTTTAAAGACTTAGAATAGAAAAATTAGATTTTATTGAGCATTCTTCAAAATTTTGAAAAATTTAATTATTAAAAAAATTTGCCTTTTTGAAAATACTGATACGAAACACTTATAATTTTTTTGAGAACAAATTTTTTTTTTTTTTTGACTAATTAAAATCGGTTGAGCGATGCTCCAGAAAACGTTGACGACAAATTGTATCAATACCTACATACATACTACACACACATATACTAATAACCAGACTCATTTACTTGTAGTGAATTTAGAAAAAATCAGGTGCAATTTAGCACTTTTTTTTCATTTACACACACACCCATTTTTTATAAGGTATGCCATAATGTTCAGAAACCTCTGAAACGTAAAAATATGCAAAAAAAAATGCATTTTTGATTTTTGGACGAATACTATAACATGCCCTTCAAGAAGTTAATACAGGGGGATGTGATTAAAATTTTGTTATTAACTTAATAAAAACGTAATCCAAATATAAGAACCGAATGAAATGAATATCAATTAACACCGTAGTATTAAGATTTGATTTGGGTATACATCAAGCTCAGTAAATAATATAAATTGTAGCTTTACGACTGCTGCTTACCTCATGTTTTAACCTATAAAGATCTCGCATAAGAGTTTAGATGAAGGCTTCACTCATCATTACACTACCTATTATATTATAACTAAATTCATAAAAAACTCTAACTCACTATTATATCTAAATTTCTGAAAAATTTTAACAATTTTTATTTTTTAATCACACTTTTTCTACCTTAACACGTGGTTTATATAATTAGGGCGATACTGAAATGGCACGTGCCAAAAAATGTTGTACATGTAGTTTGCATTCGATAAAGAACATAGGCGTGCTTTAGTTTTATTATAAAAATATTGATGATATACACAATGTGCATAAATTGTTTCTCAGGTACTAGATTACTTATTGATGTGCATATTGAAAAAAATATATTTATTATCCATGATTAAAATTAATTCATTTTTTTTATTTTCAGGGTCTGCTGCCTTCTTTTACCAGAAGTAGCGAGTTTCGTCGCAGCAATGCTGTTTGCTGTACATCCGATACATACTGAAGCTGTAAGTTTCATTTATTATTCATTATCATTACTTATAGTGCAATTAACTAGAATAATTATTAAAAACATATAGAAAATCTTATTTAACAAAATTATACAATACGACTTGAAGTATAAGTGATGAACGTAATGTGATTAATGGGTAATTTTATCTTGTAGATTCAATAAACATTTTATATTTTGATAGTATCAATTTTGAATTATATTTTGAAATTGAACTAATTTGCAAGCTGATAAATTTAAATAACAAATTAGTTGTATAATATATCAATATCTATTTTAATAATTTTAAATGCACTGCACTGCTTTGGGTTCTGGAGTTGCCACTGTTCAACAAATAAAATATACTTTTTATCAGATGTATGGACCTAGTGGCTAAATGCGAAATTAAATTTGACGGTATTTTGAAATTTACGATTGAAGCATTAATAAAATCTATATTTGAGGATTTTAGAATAAAAGGAAGGATTTTAGAATAAAACAGTGCTAAATTCCATATAAAATTCACAGCAACTGAATGATTTCAATTAGTTGGATAAATAATAGAAATAATCTTCAAATATAAATCCAATAATACAATTTACTCAAAAATATGATTCATTTAGAGTGTTGGAAAAATAGTGAAATAAAAATTGACTCTTTTGTCTATCAGTACTCGTTATATACGTATAAAATAAATTCTAAATACCTATTTTCGTAATTTCAATTTCTCTCCAAACTATTAGTTTATTTCAAAATATTGTTATTAAATTATCAGATGTTTATGTCTTTAAAATAACAATATCCATCTAATAGTATCGTTATACTCAAATTAATAAAATATTACTTGGACCTAAAGAAAATACATTATTTCACATACATATATTTTCTAAATCAGTCGATCCAATATATGAGGAGAAATTTAAATTTAGAAATATTTATAAATAATTTAGCTATTTAATGTGAATCAATATGTTGACCCTAAAACAGCACGTGCTTTAACTATTAATTTTCCCAAAGCAAATCGATATGTTAAAATATGCCAAAATAAGGTGCTTAAGAGTAATAAATTAAAACGTTACACTTTTACATAAGAGGAAATAAATATTACGATGTCGGTTCGAGATATTATTTTGACATTTGTTTATACAATAGAACGACCTAAAGCGGCATTTGTTTCAAATAATGATAAGATTTAGTTTGAATGGTTACGAAAAACTCAAACTCATCAAAAGTATTATGTATCAACTCTTGCTTATGTTTCAATAAAAAAGTGCCGGTATTTTTAAGATAATGCCGGCATTAATACCGTCGAAAATATAGACTGCATACCGGTTTTCCGGTATACCGACACTCCTTAGTAATAAATATGCAGCGAGAAAAATTAATTTGAATCTTTTAGAACACAATATTATTTTTATGTAGCTGGTAAAAACTGTTTGCAAAAGTTAATAGGGTCTAACTAAATATTGCATATGTACATTTGACACAAAATTCCATTAAAATCAGAATCATGATCACCACTGCACAGTTTTGCACTGATATTGCATCGTCGAAATTTGCAAGAGTATATAATTATATATACATATTGTATCCATATAATACTAATCAATATGCTGACCTGCATGAATAATCAAGGCTTCCTTTAACCAACTATTAATTTTCTGCAAGAGCAGATCGACATCGGCAGGCATGACCCCGTGTGCAGAAATTGTGTACGCTTCGTCTTAGCATGGAGTAAGGCGTTAGCTAGGTGACATGTTTGGTTAGTGCAAATTTACGGTTACCTTAATAATAATTATACAGCTGTCGTAGTTAAATTACGGAATTACCTGTTCTCCGAGCGGCAATATTACGACGTTACCTACGGCTTTACAATGGCAATAAGCTGGTCGTTATGTATGCCTAGCCTATATCGAACACTGCTGGTAAGAAACCTATGAGTAATATGACATAGTTATTTATAATATATTTTATATATGTAATAAATATAATAGAGTATTGATAAATCTTACTTGCCGCAGAACTGAATTTGTTTTGACTTGTTTTAAGATTTCATATCAACTCCAAATTTTGTATAAAATGTAATAATCATCTATTTGTTGAGTTCTAATATTGATTGCCATGCCAAACTATTTCTCTTATGAATTATGCCCAGATATTGATATTGTTGTGATCACTACATTTAAGGTAAAAATGTTCGGTGAGCTTCTTTATGTAGTCGTTACTGTCGGTACGTAGTGTGCTGTTAGTGGGTCTATCGAGTGCAAGTCTCAGTGCCTTGTTCTGTATAGTCTGTAGTAGGGAATGCAATACCAGTATACCGAATTACCGGTAAACCGCCCGATTTTTCGGTGGTATTTTTACCGGTATTAATTCCAAAAAATACCGGTATTTTTGGTATTTTTACATAAGCGCTAATTGATACATAATACCCTAAAGTTTATATTTCTCGGAACAAATTTATCTTTAAATTCCATAATCGCATAAACAGCTATATCTTCAAGTGATTCTATAAGATAATAAACAAATGTCAAATATTATCTCAACTCGTCATTCAACTGATTGTTTATTGCTTTCCAAAGGGCTTCATATTGTGTTACAATAAATACAATTGGACTTATAGATAATGATGTTTGTTTCATCTTTTGTAAAAATGTAACGGTTTTGTAACTGATATTTGCGATAAAATATTTTATATCATACAGATTGCCCTTGCGTAATCTTTATTTTTTTCTAACTTCATACATAATAATTATGATAATTACTAAATATTTTTGCTTCTTATTACAATTATAAAATATTATTTTTCGAAAACGTTTCGAAGTTTGAAAATACTGTGAAAGTATAACATTGTTTTAAACAACTCAACAATTATAGTAACTTATTATTTATCTCGACAAAGAATCCAATCTTAAATTAGTGTAGTAAAATTATTTTTTTGAAATATTGGAGATTATGCTAATTTAACACATCGAATACAGACAATACAGTGTATTATAATATGTATTGTAATATGATCTTTTATGAGTTTTTGGTCTTTCTTACTCATTGGTTTGTTTTTGGTGAAAAGTACTCAATATACTCGATAGTGATAATGAATTAAATAAATTGCATATGCTTTTGTTAAATTATTATTTAAAAAAAATAAACTTATTGTTTTTTTTATTGTTTAGTTGAATATAGGGTATTGCATTCCCTAGTCTGTAGTATGGAGCAGCGTACAATAATATTAGTTGAACTAAAGCCAGGTATAGCGTCCGTCTGTCTTTCAGCCTTCGTAGGCTTTTATGATTTAATAGTTTTTATATTTATGTGTTTGGTCTTCATCTAACTCAAATTTGGTAAAAATAGCAAAGTAGTTAAAAATTAGAGGTTATCTAATCCAATCATATATTATTATCCATCCATTGATTACTCATGTTTCGATCTACTTTAAGAATATCAATTCAACTAAGTGAAATAAAAAAACAAAATTTTATTAAACAGCAATTTACTAGACCGCAATATGTGAATGAGTGAAAACTGTACAAGTTCATTTCTTTAATTTTTCACATGGTAGTATTTTGCATTGTTGTATTTTATCTAGAAGGATCATCTAACTAGGAACACGTTAAATGGACAATAGTATATAAGACAAATATCAAAATATGTTCATCAAAATTGTATACAAAAAAATTTGCAACGCATTCTTTTAGAACGAATTTATTTTCTAACTCTCGAGCAAACCACATATATAGTTGGCCATGACTAAAACATGGATTTTCTAAATTGATTTCGCGAAGTTCATTGACAAAGTAGACATTACATATTTTTCATTATATCATATTCTAATATTGTCTAGGCTCATTATTTAACCTAAATTCAATTTTCATGTGATTTGACACTTCTGGCAGGTGACAGTTCTCATGAGTCAAAATGTTTTCAATGTCAAACAATGATTTGTTGTTTTTTTCATTTATTTCTACTATATTTTTATAATCATTTACATCCTAAAATTTTCTCTTAACAAACTGCAAAAAGATTTATCAAAATTCGAATAACGTGAAGGAGGAGTTTGAATTCATACACCCGTACAGATGAATTTTATCTATGAGATATTTGTATGTCGTTTACCATCACTGCAAATGTTATACGTTTGTTTAATCCCGATATATTAAAGGGCAACGTTTACTTAATGACATATTGGATGTGCTACGCAACGCGAACTGGTGGCTACGGGCTACGGTGCTACGATGCTACGGGCGTAGGGGACGCGTAGGCCCAGGACTACAAATCTAATTTACGCCACACTTACCTGCCACCGTGACAGAGAATAGTCCGAGAACTAGTGAATATATTAGAAAACATTAAGTACATGATAATATATGCGAAAACAATTATTTTTTTGGGCTCAAGGCTTAAAGGAGGACCATTGAAAGTAATTCAATTTAAAAAAAATTAAATTCATAGATTAACAAATGATGTTCATTCTAGAAATGTTGAGGCAATTGTGTCTTTTATTTTGACTATGGTTCCAGAAATGTTATTAAGGTTTACGGATCTGAAGTTTAAACGAACAAAATTAACTACAATGACCGAAAAATGGTCACAGTTTCACAAAAGCTGTAGGTTGCACTTAAAAGCTTATGATTTTAAAACTTCCTAGAATAATAATTGCTTCTAATTTTTTTATAATAGCTGCAATCAATAATATCACCTCGTTTCGGCTTGACGCTGAGTGCTAAGAAACCCTGTATGTCTTCTAAAAATTTTACATTACTAATAAATAATATTAAAAAAGTAAATATTACTAATTCACGTACCTGCGATTTGAGTGCAATAATTTGTGTCTAATCGCACCTTGCCTTGTTTTCACTTTTTTCTGGATTGTGAGAAATTTCCTCAATTTTTTGGATTTCCGAATTGTGAGATATTTTCTCAAATTTTTATATTTTGCACAAAATTCTCTCCAACTCCAAGACTATTGGACCAAAACTATATGTCACATAGTCAAATGGAGCGTTGCCATAAACAAGTTCCAGACACGGGTATTATATTACACTACTTAGTTCATGCATAAATCTTCACCTTTGTGCGCAAATCGTTTAATGGGCTACATATTGGATTGGACGGGACCGAACTTATCCCAAAACATACATTTATTGAAATAAATTGACATACTGGGAATTCAAGAAAAAAGTAAATTATATTTATGTGTATACACATATACAACGCATACATCACACATAACATATGTAGGAGTTCGATTTATATTATATAGAATTTGAAATATATTTATTTAAAAACCAAATATAATTATATTTAGGCTAAAATTGTATAGTACCTTTGTCATTGAAAAAAATTAAAATAAATGATTTCAAGTATTCTTAGATATACACGGTTTTAAATAATTTAACATCATTACCTCACTGAATTACTTTTACAATTGCTTTTAAAAAAAATCCACTCACAAAGGTACAAAAAATAATAAATAAATAAATTTAGATTGCTTTTAATTTCTTTAATAAGGTAATAATTCAACATCATTGCCTCACTGAATTACTTTCACTATTGCTTTTAAAAAATTTCTACTCACAAAGGTACAAAAAATAATAAATAAATAAATTTAGAATGCTTTTAATTTCTTCCCCTAATGAAGGCTATGATTTTATCCAAACATCATATGGATGAATTTTAAATGAATTTATATAAGAACGCCGAAAAAAAATCAACAAATTTATTAAAATTTTATATAATAACTAATTCATTAAATATGCTTCGCTGTGCGTAATAAATTTTATTCAACAATCTTTTTAGCGCTATTCCCAAAATCATCTCACGTTTAATTAAAAAAGTTGAAGTTGGATCATTAATTACCTTGGCCACTCTGCTCACTGGGCTTTATATAATTTATATATTTTTTAGAATATCATAAAATTAATTTTGAGAACATTTATCAAAATATTTATTATCAACGCTGGGCTAAAAACAAAGCTGTAGTTATAGTGTAGCGGGATTTATGCACTTATTGATTTTTTATCACATTTTTATTGAATAATTGATGAAGATATATATATATATATATATATATATATATATATGCAATATTGTTCGCCATGTTTCATGAATATTTTTATTCATCATAAAAAGGTTTACGAGTTATTATAATTAAAATTGCATCATAAAAATAGGTATATGCCAGTCAACAGCCGTGTGTACTAAAATTCATTACAAGGTGCTGAAATTTATTAAATGAATGGATTTTCGCAAAATTCTAACATATATTTGTATAAAAACTTACAAATGTATTTTTTTTTTATTTTCTCTCTAATAATTGGAATAAGATTTTGCAAATATTGAATAACAATTCATAGAAAAATCTAATTCTCCTATTTAAACTGATGGATCGATTGGAGAAACTGTGAAAACGTACGAATTTAATATTGATTTTTTAAATTTTCTCTCTAATAATTAAACTAAGAATTTGCAAATATTGAATAACAAGTCATAGAAAAATATTTAATATTCTTATTCAAACTTCTGGATCGAATGGAGAAATTGTGATAAGGTAATAAATTTAATGAAACATGTATGCTTATATTTTATTACAGTTTTGAGGTGCAATGATTAATTATATATTTAAAAAAAATTATCATTACTGAATTGTTCAGTTGGTTTTTTTAATGTCGAAATTAGTCATTATAGTAAGTTC